GATGTGGAGAAGGCGTATGATATGATGTGGAAGGAGGGGTTGTTAATCAAGCTTGATATTATGGAGGTAGGAGGAAGAATGTACAACTGGATAAAGGACTTCCTGTTTGGAAGGTCTATCCAAGTGATGGTGCGGAAGTCTTTATCAGGCAGCTACTTGGTGGATAATGGTACACCGCAGGGGAGCGTGATTAGTCCTCTGTTGTTCTCAATCATGATCAATGATGTTTACTCTCAGGTACAGCCGGATATAGGGAGGTCGTTATTTGCAGATGATGGTGCCTTATGGAAGAGGGGAAGAAATGTGCCATACATAGTCAGGAAGGTACAGGAAGCAATTTATGAGGTAGAGCGGTGGGCATTAATGTGGGGATTCAGGTTCTCTGTAGAGAAAACTCAAACAGTGTTCTTTACCAGGAGGAAGGTAAGATGAGGTATGCTTGAGGTTTATAGGAGAAACTTGGAGAGGGTGGGGGCCTTCAGGTTCCTTGGGGTATACTTTGATACTAGACTGACCTGAGCAGAACACATTGAGAGAGTGGTGGGAAAGTGTAAGAAGGTGCTAAATGTGATGCGCTGTCTGACGGGGAAGGAGTGGGGGGCTGGGCGTTCCTCATTGAAGACCATGTATGTTGCATTGATCCGATCTGTAATAGACTATGGAAATATAGCATATGGTTCGGCAGCCCAGACCTCACTGGAATGGCTAGATGTCATACAGGGGCAAGGACTCAGAATATGTAGTGGGGCGTTTCGGACGTCCCAAGTGGCTGCATTACAGGTGGAGATGGGGGATATGCCGTTGCAGATTAGGAGACAGCAGCTGTCAATGAATTATTGGGTCAACCTACAAGGACATGGGGTGTCTCATCCTGCGAAAGGGATTTTACAGGCATGCTGGGAACATGAGCGAAGACCGAACACGAGCTTTGGGTGGGTGGGTAATACCCAGACGAAGGAGATGGGACTGTATGGAAGGGAGTTTAGTCCAACGGTAGTTATTCCTGTAAATCCCCCATGGCTACTCCCGCCTCCAGTAGTTGATCTAGAAGTGTTGGAGAGACTACAGAAAGATAGGGAGGGGGTTGGTTCAGCTGATTTCTTTAAGAGACATCTGGAAACTGTGTATCAGGATTTTGTGGCCATTTACACAGATGGTTCAAAAGATCCAAGGACAGGACGTACTGGGTCAGCATTTGTAGTGCAGGAGTGTGGGGTGGAAGTCAGGAAACGTATTACAGATCATCTGGCTGTATATACGGCGGCGCTGATGGCCATACTGTTGGCCTTGCAGTGGGTGGAGGAAGTTAAGCCAGACAGAATAGTTATTTGCTCTGACTAATGTGCAGTGTTAATGAGTCTCCAGTCCTTTAGCTCACGTAGCAGACAAGACCTGCTTTATGAGTTGCTACAAACCCATGGCAGGATTAAGCAGATGGGTATTCAGATAAGATTTACTTACCACTACAGCCCCGTCGATGAGAATGGGGGCATGCTCAGTCCTCTTTTTTTTCCTGTAGTCCACAATCATCTCCTTTTTCTTGGTCACGTTGAGGGAGAGGTTGTTATCCTGGCAGCACACGGCCAGGTCTCTGACCTCCTCCCTATAGGCTGTCTCATCATTGTCGGTGATCAGGCCTACCACTGTTGTGTTGTCGGCAAACTTAATGATGGTGTTGGAGTCGTGCCTGGCCATGCAGTCATGGGTGAACAGGGAGTACAGGAGGGGACTGAGCACGCACCCCTGAGGGGCCCCCGTGTTGAGGATCAGTGTGGCAGATGTGTTGTTACCTACCCTTACCACCTGGGGGCGGCCCGTCAGGAAGTCCAGGATCCAGTTGCAGAGGGAGGTGTTTAGTCCCAGGATCCTTATCTTAGTGATGAGCTTTGAGGGCACTATGGTGTTGAATGCTGAGCTGTAGTCAATGGATAGCATTCTCACGTAGGTGTTCCTCTTGTCCAGGTGGGAAAGGGCAGTGTGGAGTGCAATAGAGATTGCATCATCTGTGGATCTGTTGGGGCGGTATGCAAATTGGAGTGGGTCTAGGGTTTCTGGGATAATGCTGTTGATGTGAGCCATGACCAGCCTTTCAAAGCACTTCATGGCTACAGACGTCAGTGCTACGGGTCGGTAGTCATTTAGGCAGGTTATCTTAGTGTCCTTGGGCACGGGGACTATGGTGGTCTGCTTGAAACATGTTGGTATTACAGACTCAGTCAGGGACATGTTGAAAATGTCAGTGAAGACACTTGCCAGTTGGTCAGCACATGCTCGGAGTACACGTCCTGGTAATCCGTCTGGCCCTGGGTTCCAGCCCGTGTGGGGTGGAGGGGAACGAGGCAGTAGATGAACAGGCTAAACAAGCACTTAGTAGTGGGGATGTTGATGTTGAAGTGTCAATGAGCAAGGCAGAGGCAAAAAGACTGATATATACAGTGATGGTGCAGAGATGGCAGGAGCAGTGGAATAGAAATAACAAGGGAAGGCATTTATTTCAGTTACAGAGGAAGTCGGGGAGGGGAGGACGGCAGGAAGGGACAGAAGAGAGGAGGCTATTTCTACAAGATTAAGGGTGGGACACAGCCAGTTGAATAAGACATTAAACGTGATAGGAAAGCATCCATCAGGAAAGTGTGATTATTGTCAGGAAATAGACTGTGGAGCATGTATTGCTACAGTGTGGGCAGTATCAGAGGGAAAGAGAGAGGTTGAGATTTAGTATGAGGGAGAAGGGGATACAGGAAATTAGTTAAAGAGTATATTGAGCAGAACGTCATTAGATATAGTCTCAAATATTTTGTTATCTTTTTTAAGAAAGACGGGGTTGGCAGGTAGGATTTAGTTTCTCCCTGTCTCTGGCCCACATTCCAGTACGGTAGGTGGCGGTAATGCACCATAATATTAGATGCCAACCGCCGATAAACCCCACTGAAGAAGAAGAAGAAGACGATGTCTTGGGTGAAAACATTTTGGTCACGGATTGCGGTTTTTTGTGCTATTTAAGTTGCAAATATATATATTTCACTGTGACCTGCTCCTGACTGTCAGGCAGTGAGAAAGGCCGTTGCTGAGTGAGTGAGTGGTGGGGAGGGGTAGATGTGTGTGTGTTGAGAGAACGCTACAGTTATTGGCTGAGTCACGTGAGCGAGAGGAGCGCGCGCGCACGTTGTGACAATTTTGTACCAGTTGTTGGTAGGCTATGTAGAATGTCATGGAGACACCTATTCCCAAACCTGTTTCCATAAAACATGTTAATACGCTAGAACTGATGCACATCAATAAATAATAGAGACAAAGCACTGGAAAACGACTTTGGGCGCACCATTACATACATTTGCTCGGAGGTGGTTTAAACTACATTCTAACGTTGACTGCTTAAAGGAAACGGTATCAAGCGAAGTGCTTTATGCATGCTCAGTTCTTGGGTCTACGGGGCTGACTGAGTCGAAATTTGAAATGGAAGTTATGGAACTCCATCGCGTGATTATTTTTATGGGGAAAAGTCCTCAATGAAACTGACATTAGGCTAAATGTGGATAATTATAAATTTGCCTCTGTTGGCCATCAAGTAGCCTATTAATGTATATGTCATTGTAGGCTACCATTTGATACAATAAATATGTTGAAATTACGATATTACTGGAGTCATTGCAAATCAGTGTGTCACTTGTGTAGCTACCTGGAGCTGGCAAACCAATGTAATAAATAGTCTATAACTTCAGTTTATTGTTGTTGTAGCCTTGTGTTATTATGAACGCATTAGATTGACGGTAACTGTAGTCAGATTAGGCTACAGGTAAAATACATTCAAAAAAATAAACACTGGCTGTTGTTGACAAGCATATTCAGTTCATATACATATTATTAATATTTAATTCAGTTATTTAAATGATGACCCCATTCTCAGTAGCCTATTCCAGCAGGCTATTGGGGAAACAAGCACGTCTTATTGCAAAATCGTCTCGCTATTCATGTTGAATAAATTAGTCTGTTAATTTGAACTAAGCAAGCTGCTAAATTGTTCAGTTTACATCTTGCCTACATCTTGTCTAGGCTACTGTAGACTATCTGAAATGAGATGTAGGCCTAGCAGGGGCTACAGTCTAACTTCCTTTATCTAAGCAAACTATGGCAAAATTTAATTAGAATCATAAACCCAGATTTTTGTCTGTAGCCTATGCATATTGAAATGACAAGTCTGTCTCGCAAATGGGCCATTTATAACGGTTTGTAGTCTTATCATCTGGCACATAATAACAGCACAATTGCCAGAAAATAGCCTAACATTCGTTTTTTTAATGTTCATCCAAGTGTTTCTTGCTCAGAGATTTCGAGATCCTCTGTCCAACTTTCATCACTCAAACTCTCCTGTTGGATTTAGCTATAGTTATTCACATGCGCAAAGGGGATTTATTTACAATTATAAACTTGGTTCGAGCCCTGAATGCTGATTGGCTGACAGCCGTGGTAAATCAGACCATATACCACGGGTATAACAAAACATTACTTTTTTACTGTTCTACTGGTAACCAGTTTATAATAGCAATAAGGGGTTTGGGGTATATGGCCAATATACCATGGCTAACAGCTGTATCCAGGCACTCTGCATTGAGTGGTGATTAAGAACAGCCCTTAGCCGTGGGATATAGGCCATACACCATATCCACTTGTGCCTTATTGCTTAATCATAGCAGTCAAGCGAGTTAAATTGACATTCATTGATGGAAAATGATCTGGCGAGTTTAATAAAGGTGAATTATCTTTTCTCTTGTCACATATTCAAATTCCTTTATTATGTCATGTCATAGCATGCAATAATTATTATTTTGAGGAAACCCGAATTTTGCTTCTAACGTCGTTACAAGTTACTATGATATTCCTTCTTAATTGGCTCGATAACGTTATGGAAAAAGGGTTTATTGTATAGATATGTCAACTCCTCTCTTGCTGTGAATTTTTTGGGGGGGCTAGTTTTCAGGCCTTTTTCGCGGGTTTTGAGTGGTCATTGGGCTAAACATTTTATTTTGACCTGGCAACCCTGCTATGGAACTACTTCCTCTCGGTCGCAACATGCGCCATTGAAAATAAACGTAGCCGAAGTTTCAGGGCATTCATTGTTCAAGTCCTTATTTCTGTAATTTGTTGGTCAGAAAATAACAATGGAGACGATTTTAGAACAACAACGTCGCTACCATGAGGAGAAGGAAAGGCTGTTGGATGCCAAAACAAAGGAAATGATGCATAAGAAAACCACAGTATGTGTTGCATCAATGCTAATGCTGTTTAATGCTAATGAAGACGTTCATTGATTCAAAGCATTATAAACAAATTCAGATCATCTAACGTTATTGCTGGGAATAGTAACTTATGTGTTATTAACCAGTTACAATTTATCTGGCAACTATTGTATTCAGTTAGCTGCATTAGTTATTTGGCTAGTTTGTTAGCTAACGTCAGCTAGCTAACTAGTAAATAAAACCCAATGGGATGGTGTTTGGTCCAGTTTCTGGCTTTGCATTCTAGTTAATATTTATGGATTTTTCTTCTCAAACAGTTACGCGAACAAATAAACTCAGACCATCGAACAAGAGCAATGTTGGATGTGAGTATTCTATGTGATATTGAAACATCACAACACTAACAAGTTGGACCTGTATTTTCATATTCACTTGTCTTGTGGCTAATAGCCTACTTGTCTAGGACATGCATGATGTGACAGTATTTTTTGATAACAAGCTTTGTCATCCTTTCAGAGATACATGGACGTGAGCTCAACTGTCAGGGAAGCATATGAAGACAAAGATGGGTAAGTTTGTGTGTATGCAAACGTATGTAATGTGTTTGTTTCAAGTGCTCATGCATGATCAGCCTTGTTATGTGGAGTAAATCAGTGGTGTAATATTGTTGCTTTCTCTTTCGACAGTATGAGGAAGGATGAACTGAACGCCATCTCAGGACCAAATGAGTTTGCAGAGTTCTACAACAGACTAAAACAGATCAAGGAGTTCCACAGGAAGCATCCTAATGAGGTCAACTTTTTTATCAGCTCCTTGCTGTCTGTCCTAGCTGTAAACTGAAGATATCATGTCAGAAGTACACAGAGTATACAAAACATTAAGAACACCGGCTCATGACATACATTGACCAGGTGTTTCCATGACATAGACTGACCAGGTGAAAGCTATGATCCCTTATTGATGTCATTTTTTAAATCCACTCCAGCCAATGTAGATAAAGGGGAGGAGACAGGTTAAAGAAGGATTTTAAGCATTGAGACAATTGTGACATGGATTGTGTATGTGTGCCACTCAGGGTGAATGGGCAAGACAAAATATTTAAGTGCCTTTGAATGGGGTATGGTAGTAGTTGCAATGCGCACTGGTTTGTGTCAAAACTGCAATGCTGCTGGGTTTTTCATGCTCAACAGTTTACCATGTGTATCAAGCAAGAATGGTCCACCAGCCAACTTGACACAACTGTGGGAAGCATTGGAGTCATCATGGGCCAGCATCCCTGTGGAATGCTTTTGACACCTTGTAGACTCCATGCCCAGTTGAATTGAGGTTGTTCTGAGGGCAAAAGGGAGGGGGGGATGCAACTCATTTTTAGGAAGGCGTTTTTAATGTTTAATACACTCAGTGTATATCGTCTCTATTGAGAAGGTTCTCAAAAACCCTAAGTAGTTCCAGACACAGAGATCCGTTTTAAAGGGGTAATCTGCATTTCAAACAATGACACTTTTACATTTACATTTTAGTCATTTAGCAGACGCTCTTATCCAGAGCAACTTACAGTTAGTGAGTGCATACATTTTTTCATACTGGTCCCCCGTGGGAATCAAACCCACAACCCTGGCGTTGCAAGCGCCATGCTCTACCAACTGAGCTACACAGGACTTTTGGTAAAAAGCTGAGGGATGGGGCATGAGAAATGTAACCACTCAAATTCATAGACAGAGCTAGGACTGACCATCCATGATATCAAAAGTATAGTTTGCGACTATTTTTGAGGCTATTCACTAGTTTGTTTACAATTACGTTGTTTATAAACAATGGAGTAAAACAAGCTTATATGTTGGCTTCTGGTGGGGTATGACAGTTGAACTAAGTGCATGAGGCATTTTTAAGTTATTCTTCAAGAATCAATGGGTTTATGTAATTAATTTAATAGTCCAAAAATAGATACACCAATCGCAGATTGCCCCTTTAAATAACTATTATATAATTCTATATGTCTAGGGATTCTATATGTAATTCTACAGTTCCAGATGCATGAAGGAAAAAAAATTATAATTTGTGTTATTGCATGTTCCACAATAAATGTCTGAAACCAAATCTTGAACCAAAGTTTAGGTCAACAAACCTTCATCAGGGTTTAGCATGTCTGCTGCTGTGGCTAAATCTGTACGTTGTTGTTTCAGATCTGTGTGCCCATGTCTGTGGAGTTTGACGAGCTGGTCAAGGCTAGAGAGAACCCAACTGAAGAAACACAGAGTGAGCTTTCTACAGTATGGTGGTGGAATCATTGTCATAGTCAGTGTAGGTGTTAATGTAATGATTTATGTGATCTTTCCCCAGACATGGTGGAGTTCAGTGATGAGGAGGCGTACGGACGCTACCTGGATCTCCATGACTGCTATCGGAAGTTCATCAACCTGAAAGGGGCAGAGGTAAGGTGTCCACTCTCCATACTCTAAATACTCTTCATCCTAGTCTAATGTAAAACTATACTAAAGCCTAACTTTCTGCCCTCTCTGTTTCAGAAACTGGAGTACATCAGCTACCTTTCCTCGTTTGACCAGCTGTTTGACGTCTCCAAGGATAGAAAGAATGCTGAATACAAAAAGTAAGCATATTTAGATCCCCTGTAGCTCAGTTGGTAGAGCATGGCGCTTGCAACGCCAGGGTTGTGGATTCATTTCCCATGGGGGGCCAGTATGAAAATGTATGCACTCACTAACTGTAAGTTGCTCTGGATAAGAGCGTCTGCTAAATGACTAAAATGTAATGTAAAAATTTAACAGACAAAAAAAAATTGTACAGACATTTTCTTTGTGATTGTACTGTAAATGCACTACATGTATTCCTATAGGATTCTAGTACCTTGTATTAATTTGGTTGGAGGTAGTTCTCCTCTGCATGTTTTTCCATCAGGTTGTGTGACACCTGTGTTCGGTGTTCTACAGGTACTTAGAGATGCTCCTGGAGTACCTTCAGGACTACACAGAGAGAGTCAAACCTCTGCTGGACCAGAATGATCTCTACGGCAAGATCCTGGGAGAGTTTGAGAAGAAGTGGGAGATGGGGACCTTCCCTGGCTGGCCAGTGAGTGTCCAAGATGGGGAAGAGGACTACTATAGTGATGGTCTATATGGGAGTTTAAATGATTTAAATGTTTTATTCTCTTCCACTGTTCTAGAAAGAGACGAGCAGTGCTCTGACCCACGCCGGAGCTCATTTAGACCTTTCTGCTTTCTCCTCTTGGGAGGAGTTGGCTTCCCTGGGTCTGGACAGATTGAAGTCTGCCCTTATGGCCCTGGGCCTGAAATGTGGAGGGTAAGCAATAAGCATGCTCTTCTGTGGCTGGGAGGTCGTCTATGGACATACATTAAACTTGGAATACTGTAATAACAGTGTTGTAATTAGAATATTATAACTGTAACTGGAACATTGTATTGTAATGACATCAAATTCCAGCCGTAGACTAGGAGTATAGATAGACGGTGTAATGATTACTAATATCGGACTGGGTGTCTCCGATGTAAGGTTGCTAAATGGGTGTATGTGGCTAAATGTGTATGTAACCCCACAGAACCCTGGAGGAGAGAGCTCAGAGGCTGTTTAGCACCAAAGGCAAATCCCTGGAATCTCTGGATCCCTCCCTGTTCGCCAAGAACCCTAAGTCCAAGGGACCCAAGAAGTATGTCATTGTCAGTTAAACATTTGCATGTTTTATGTTTTTCTTCACCTGATAGCATGTTATAGCCGTGTTATTGACCATTCTAATCTCTGCAGAGACACAGAGCGTAACAAAGAAGTCGCCTTCCTGGAGTCTCAGATTTATGAGTATGTGGAAATCCTGGGGGTAAGTAAAAGCTGCCAAGGATGACTCCTTTTACATATTTTCACAATCGTATGTAATGAATGTCTGTAGTTGTGAGGACGACTTATGAAATGGGTCTTTATATAATGGTTTGTTCCGGCCATGCAATGGGTGTGTGTTACTCCCGATAACCACACTAACACCTGTTAACAGTTCCATCTGATTGTCTTTGGCACTGTAGGAGCAGAGGCAGCTGACCCATGAGAACGTGCAGAGGAAGCAGGCCCGGACAGGAGAGGAGAGAGAGGAGGAAGAGGAGGAGCAGCTCAGTGAGAGTGAGAGTGAAGATGAGGACAACGAGATCATCTACAACCCCAAGAACCTGCCTCTCGGCTGGGATGGAAAGGTATGGAGGCAGACCTTGACATCAGACCTATGTACTAGCTGTGGAACAGCTCTGCAATAGTAATGAAATACAAATGATTATGTGTTATTAATAATAGTGTTTTTTATTCAGAGTTTATTGTACAGCGGTTGCATGCCACCACGCTAACCTTGTTTTAAATTGTTCTAGCCCATTCCATACTGGCTGTATAAACTCCATGGCCTGAACATCAACTATAACTGTGAGATCTGTGGAAACTACACGTACAGAGGACCCAAGGCCTTCCAGAGGCACTTTGCAGTATGTTCAGATTTCTGTTCAACATTATTCGTATAATTATTATTTGCGTATTATTATTACAATGTCATATATTCGGTTATTACAGTGTTATATCAATGTCCTCCTTTTGTTTTGATATTTGCATAATAAGTTAAACTGCAAAGGATTCCAGTTTAGAACTGGACTAATTCTGTTCTCAGATGATAAAGAGCATGTTGGCCATGGTTAGTTAATATTACTGCAAGCTAATATTTTGTCGCCTGTTGTCTTCACCCCTCAGGAGTGGCGTCACGCCCATGGCATGCGCTGCCTGGGAATTCCCAACACGGCTCACTTTGCCAACGTCACCCAGATCGAGGACGCTGTCTCTCGTAAGTAGTTCTGTTACAGCCCTTATAGAGGCTGAGGCAGATGACACAAGTGAAAAGAATGAGTATTGTTATTTGGGTTGAATAGAATCATGTTAGAGAAAAAAGTGTTACCAGACCAATAAATATTTTCCGGTGTAGTTGTACATCCAGATTGCCCTCGCAAAAAGGTTTCTGACCGCAAGGGTCTTTTCTGGTTAAATAAAGAATGAAAAATGACTGGTCATTCAGTCCAAGTTCTGGATAATAATCATGTCTTTTTAACCCAGTGTGGTCAAAGCTGAAGTCACAGAAGGCATCAGAGCGGTGGCAACCAGATACAGAGGAGGAGTACGAGGACTCCAGTGGAAACGTGGTCAACAAGAAGACCTATGAGGACCTGAAGAGACAGGGTCTGCTGTAGAGAGGAAACCGACCAAGACATGACATGTAAACCTTTCCGGAACCTTCTGAAGCGCAACGTGATGCCCAGTGAAAAAATGTTTTCTTTTACCTTTTCACTTACACTTCATCTGTTATCTTTAACTGTAAGCTGTAATGTTGTTTTTATTAATTCCTCCCTTTGACAACCATTTTGAAATGAAACAGCCATTGATTCTAATAATAAATGAGTACTATTTGTCACCATTGTTGTTTCTGAGTTATTTGTTCTAGTAGAAAGCAATTGTAATGTCTTAACGAGTTGCTTAAGGAATTACCTGAACCACTGCCCATTCCCTTATGGGTGATTACATATTTTTGTACATCCAATGGTGCTTTGACAGGACCAATTGTTTGGAAGAACTCTCCCATTGTCACGTGGAGGACAAGTCCCTTTTAAAGGGAGTGTACTAGAGGAAGAGAGAGGAGGGGAGTCTATAGATATATTCACACTTGCTCACTGATTCCTCTGTTTGCCTGGTAAGGAAAATTCACCTTTATTTACTAATTCATACATTCATTAAAACATTTAAGATGCTTTCTCAGCACAGCAGTCTTTTTGGCATTAAACAAATAAGACACTAGTACTGTATTTGAGTGAGCTGTTAATGATTTAAATATTGTTCTTTCATGTAGCATGTCTTGCTAGCTATGACATGCAAATTGACACAGGATCAGTTTGCCAATATAAGAGTACAGTTGAGGGAAGAAAGATGTCTGAATATTACTAAAAGAACAGTGGATCTGATGTTGGATTTGGTCTGTGTTTATCCATAATATTCACCATCCAACAGTCATCATAAATGGTCATATATAAACATGTATTAAACAGGGATATGGGCAAGATAGCATTTCATTGTTTACCACTCTAATTGGGCACTAATTCACATGACCACATTACCAGTCTCCAGGCTGCACCCATTAAAAGTAATTAGGAGAGGAGATAAGCATTTCCTTAGGTGACGGGTTGAGATGGCAGTTCTGGCTCCTGGTCTGGGCAAAGTGTATCCTGAGGGGATCATAAAACGACCACAGTGTGTTCTACAAGTACTCTTGGACCCCAGGGACAACACTAACTAGATGGATTTATAACGTGTTTATGAATATTCCGCTCACCAACATAACAATGCCCACGCCATCACATGACTGAGAATCTGAAACCATTAATTAACACACCATTGCGTGCCTGAGTATCAGATCTGTTTGTACTGGGACTCATGCTACACTTTTGCAGGTTAATTCTCCACACGTCTGCTGCTGGGGGAAGTAAGCTAAAGATGTTTTTAAAACAGGACTTCAGAGGTATCGTCATCACCTTACCTAATCAATATCAGTAGTCCAGTAAATATCAGTTGGTTTTTTGCTCCATAATGACAGAACTGACCTTGATTTCCATTTTTATTTTACCATTTGAAAGCAGGAGTCCTTGGTCTTTCCGGTCCTCAAAGGAGATCTGTTGTATTTGTTCTTGGTAAGATTATAACATCACTGATATTTTTTATCTGATTATCCCTGATTTATGTTGATGTTTTAATAGCTGAGATATTTAATGAAGTTTGATTATAACTCATTGATTATCAATTCATTATCATTTAGTGCTTTTGAATCTAACCATTAAGAATACTGTGGGAGACCAACATCCAACTTCCACAAATGACCCCAAGATGACCGTTGCTCAAACCACCCAACCCACCACAATCATCAGCAAACTGTATCCCATATACACAACCAGGTCAAAGACTGAAAACAGCCAAACCATTCACACCACCACTGTCGCACCAGGAAGAGACTACTACAATACAGACAGCAACAAGGAACTCTTCCCTACATCCCACACTGGGGGAGAATACACCAAAGCTCAAGATTACATCACAAACATCTCCTCTACACTCAAGACGGAGAGAAGCAACACCGAAGCAGATGATATGAACCTCATCCCTTCTTTCAAGAATGAGTTAGTGAACTATATTGATGTCATACCAACATCTCAGACCAATGGAAACCATACTCAAGATGAGGGCAAGGACATTGATGACCAAGGCTACATTGCCTCCAATACAACCCAAACTGAGAACTATAATATCACCACAGAGCCTACCACTACAGCTACTGCAAGATCCACCATATCCACAATGGGAGGCATGACTGTAAATGCTGCTTTGACTGGGAAGAAGGTACTAGACATTTCTTACAAATGAATGCAAAATACTGGCAATTTTTGCAAAAATGTCAACTTTTCAGCATACATTATAAATTATAATTTGCTTTCCTTCACAGATGAGGTCTTGTAAAATATTTAGCTGCATCGGAATAACATGCTACAAACATATGAAGGCCATTGAGGAGTTGTGTGAGGAGGGCATGGACTTCTGTGAGGTAAGAAGACACCCATTCCTATTGTGGCTTTCTAACAAACGTCTTTACCATGCAATGTCAATATTCAATAGGCTTGGTTATCAACATGTAAGTTAACCTGAATCTTAACTGTTCATGGATGAAGTGTTGTTGTTAATGATGATGATTATGCTACTGCTGATGGTGATGATGATCACAAGGATGATATTGATAGTGATGATGATAAATACAACTGATACACCATACACTATCCCACAGCTCAAGAAAGCCTCAAGCCAGGTCACCTGGAATACATACGTGGCGGTGTGGAGTGCTGGATGCTCCAGAGACTGCAGACAGCGTACTAAGTGTGGTCCCTTCAGCTCGTACCAATGCCACAAGGAGTGTTGTGTGGCTGGGTCTGTCTCCTGTCTCAGACTGGACGGTTATCTCAACATGCCTGTCAACTCTGCCTGCTGTGGCCTGGGGAGTCTCGCCCTCCTGGCCCTGAGTGTAACCTCTCTACTGGGCAGTCTACTCAACACTCGCTAATCTACTAACCTTCCTGTGACATTAGACTCGCTTTTCAATACAGAGGGTTTAGTATGGATCAACTAAATGCATTTTCAGTTTTGTCATATCCACTGCTTGGGTGTCATTAGTTCTTTCATGTTTTCTTAATCTGTGAATGCAAGCTCTCGTGAAAATAAAACAGTGTTTTCCAGCTTTATGATGTCCTTAAATCACACATCACAACCTCTAGTGGATCCAGTCATGGGTTTGAGTGTGCTGTTCTTCTGTGGGCGTTACTGCCAGGGGATACATAGGCCTACAATTAACCCGCTATGGACCAATTACTGTTCAAAATGTTTTCAACTCAGACAATTAGGCTCATGCCTTAACTATGTTGACCCTTATATGTCTAGGTATTTCATCAAGATTGTATCAGTCAGCTTTACAAAAATAGGTATTTCAGATGGTGTGCAGTGTAGCTTTGGCTAAACCTCTAAAAGCCTATTAGGCTAGTGTTCAGTAATAATTAATCTTCACAAGATGGCGCTGTAGCACAGTTCTATCCAGGAGCTATTGCGTATTCATGTATCTGCCAAAATAATAGAAACGGTTGAGTAAATATGTGATACAAAGTATGTTGAAAGCAGGCGCGGTTCCTGACTTAATCAATTAACATCCCATCTTACTTAGGGTCAAGTATAAATTGCTGGGCAGGCCATTATCTTGGCTACAATGCCCCCATCCACAGGGCCACGAGTGGTCACTGAATGGTTGACGAGCATGAAAACCATATGCCATGACCGTCTCAGTCATCAGATCTCAACCTTATTGAACATGTTAGAGAACTAACCATATGTAGAGCAGGGTCACTCTCTTTCAAAACACGTGGGAGATTCTGGAGCAGCGCCTGAGAAAGAGTTTTCCACCACCTTCAACAAAACACCAAATGATGGAATTTCTCGTTGAAAAATGGTGTCGCATACCTCGAGTTCCAGACACTTGTTTAATCTATGCCACTGCGCATTGAAGTTGTTCTGGCTCGTGGCGGCCCATGTTGGTGTTTCCTTTATTTAGGCAGTTACCTGTCGTTTACTTCAAGGTTGAGTGAGTTAATTCTGGGCGGAAGGTGGATAAGTAGGCTGCTAGGGTAACTACGATGTAGCAACACTAACAACGGAGGAGCTGGGATTCAAACAGAATAAACAAAGCGGAATACATTTTATAAATACTTTTTACGACCTTGTAGTTCTTGACTGCATTTACCTGGTGAACTTTCAAAACTGAGTAGCTTGGGGTTGTTATTGAAACGTTGCAACATTTATGTGCTGCGTCTGCTGAATGAGTGCTTCTTAGTAGCAACAACTAAAATAGTTTTGATGATAGCCTAAACTCGCTGAGGAATGCCAAGATTGTCGTTGACTTTGTATTAGGCTACTGTAACGTTTAACCAATAGTCGTTAATCTCATTTTTATGTGAACAAAATTCTATGCATTTGTAGCTGCTGTCATGATAGCCTACTGTTACTTGATACATTTTCTAACCCTCTCTACTTCTCTCCTTTCAGTGGCAACCCAGTGTGTGACACCTTTGTTACCATGCATGAGGATGAATGTCAAATCCAATGAGACCATGCTCTTTGAAGAGGAGGAAGAGGTGGACAAGACAAATCAGCAGGTTGAAGAGGACAATGTGTCCAGGAAGATGGTTACTGTCGACTGGGACCAATGGGACAGGCTACTGCTGCCCTCACCACTGGACTCTGGTGTGCACAGTCTGGACACAGTGTACGACAGAATCACCGTGATGATTGAACAAGACGCTGTGGGTTCTAGAACTGACAATAAAGAGGAAGAAGAGGACCTGATGATGTACCTACATGAGGGATGTGAGACGGAGGGCCGTGGAGGTCTGGAAGACCACTGGGAGGCCATGTCACAGGGGTACATCCACCACACCATCTCCCAGGACCAGATCCATTTCACCATCAACCCTGGTTCCACACCCATGCCCCGGCACATCCAGGGGGCCACCATCACACTGCACTCTGAGTGCCCAGATAGCCACCACAGCGAGGTAAGGCTTGGCCTTGATATCCAAAGACCTGAAGACTTGTGTTAACACCTTGAGTTAATGCCTGGGCTTTGGCTCAGTGGGCTAATCCCTGGTTCAACTCCAGTCGATCACATAAGCCTGTTTTGATATCTGATCATGTTCAGTGTTTATTTGGATATGTTGTCAGGAAAACACACTCCTGGTATTCTGGGTATTCTGGTTGTGAGGAGGAGAGGCATCATTGCTCATTCACATACTGTATATTCTCTAATGTCCCGGCCATGATGTCCTGAAGGATGTTACAAGGCTATAGGTAGGCAGAGAACCATTTGTAGTCTTCTTTGAAATTGAGAGTGTAGGCCTCAACCCTTAGGGCAAACATTACATGGGGTTGGTCAGGCTTACACGTGATGATCATATCATATGATGTGTATTCTCAGTCTGTGAATAACTGAGACAGACCCTCTTTAGCATATCACATATACACTCTTAGAAAAAAAGGGTACCAAAAGGGTTCTTTGGCTGTCACCATAGGAGAATCCTTTTTGGTTCCATGTAAAACCCTTTTGTGTTCCATGTAGAACACTTTGTGGAAAGGGTTGTTCATGGAACCCAAAAGGGTTATACCTGGAACCAAAAAGGGCTATTCAAAGGGTTCTCCTATGGGGACAGCCAAATAACCATTTAAAGTTCTATATAGCACCTTTTTTTCTCAGTGTATAACATTTGGAAGGGAGAAAGAAGTCCCTGAGGTCATTAATTTGCATCATCATCATCACAGAGAAAATAGACCATGCTAGGTTATCAGCAGCAGCACCATATTGTGTGAAGGCGACAAGCCAACTGTTATGATGAAGTCAGTGAGTGAGAGGCAGAGACAGGAGAGGAGATTGGTTTGGGGCGGTGAAATTGGGCCAGACCGGGAGCTAGCTGTGACGCTTCTGTTTTCCCTCATCATCATCAGCCTCTCTCCCATCCAGAACCACAGAGTTAATATATTCAAGGTCTCTGCAGATGTCAAGATGAGAGGATTCTCTCACTGCTCTCTAGGCTTTTCAACCTATTGGTTCTCTTTCTGTGAAGTTAATTAGGTCTCATTCATAAATGTGCACTTCAATCTTCTCATATAAACCAATACAGCTGATTCATTTTCAGACTTGATGTATAGTAATGTTTGTCAAGTGTTACATACCGGTACTTGCTAAAAACACTTCCTACATGTTAAGCTTATGTTTATGTAAATGTTGGTGTTTCATCTTTTTGACATAGTTTATATAACGACGACAACTCTTTGCCTGTCTGTTCTGCAGGTGAAGCGTTACCAGTGTCTATACGAGGACTGTACTCGTACCTACAGCACAGCAGGGAACCTGCGCACCCACCAGAAGAGACACAGAGGAGAGTACACATTTGTCTGCAACCAGTTGGGCTGTGACAAGGCCTTCCTCACCTCCTATAGTCTGAAGATCCATGTCCGCGTTCACACCAACGAGAAACCCTTCGAGTGTGACCAACAGGGCTGTGAGAAGGCCTACAACACACTGTACAGGTAAGTGTTACACCAGTGTTTTCCCTACCATTGAAATGCCGGAGATGATACTCCAACCTAGCAGTCTTGCCCTCCACATCTATTTGGTTAATAGATCATTTCCAGGCCCACAGGCACCAAAATTATCAACTGAAGCAATAGCAGCCAAATTATTGTAGGGGATAGTCTTCCTGCCATGGGTCAAGACACTTGTCACGCGATGATGTTTCATCAGTCATGAGTTGTGCACTCTCCTGACCCCCTGATCTCAAAGTTAATGAACACACCTTAGTGACCTTTGGTATGCTGACCCCAAGTCAAGCCACAGCTCACAGTGGCTGTCTGTTGGTGTGCTGATCTGCAAACATCAGCCGTGTTTGTTCTATCTGTTGTGTTTGTGTTGATGTGCAGGCTGAAAGCCCACCAGAGACTGCACTCAGGGAACACGTTTAACTGCGAGTCGGACGGATGCACCAAGTACTTCACCACCTTGAGTGACCTGAGGAAACACATCCGGACACACTCCAAGGAGAGGCCCTTCAGGTGAGCTCACAATGAATGGCTGAAGTTTGCAGTGGGTTGAATGGACAAACAAACGAATGAACAAATTAGTGCTTGCACGAATGAATGAAATGAATGAATGAATGAGCACTGTGACATGCACACAATAATGAGATTATTGTGGATAGTCAGGTTAATACACTGCTCAAAAAAATAAGCAACACAATGTAACTCCAAGTCAATCACACTTCTGTGAAATCAAACTGTCCACGTAGGAAGCAACACTGATTGACAATACATTTCACATTCTGTTGTGCAAATGGAATAGACAACAGGTGGAAATTATAGGGAATTAGCAAGACACCCCCAATAAAGAAGTGGTTCTGCTGGTGGTGACCACAGACCACTTCTCAGTTCCTATGCTTCCTGGCTGATGTTTTGGTCACTTTTGAATGCTGGCGGTGCTTTCTCTCTAGTGGTAGCATGAGACGGAGTCTACAACCCACACATGTGGCTCAGGTTGTGCAGCTCATCCAGGATGGCACATCAATGCGAGCTGTGGCAAGAAGGTTTGCTGTGTCTGTCAGCGTAGTGTCCAGAGCATGGAGGCGCTACCAGGAGACAGGCCAGTACATCAGGAGACGTGGAGGAGGCCGTAGGAGGGCAACAACCCAGCAGCAGGACCGCTACCTCCGCCTTTGTGCAAGGAGGAGCAGGAGGAGCACTGCCAGAGCCCTGCAAAATGACCTCCAGCAGGCCACAAATATAATAATAATAATATATAATATGCCATTTAGCAGACGCTTTTATCCAAAGCGACTTACAGTCATGCGTGCATACATTTTTGTGTATGGGTGGTCCCGGGGATCGAACCCACTACCTTGGTGTTACAAGCGCCGTGCTCTACCAGCTGAGCTACAGAGGACAAATGTGCATGTGTCTGCTCAAACGGTCAGAAACAGACTCCATGAGGGTGGTATGAGGGTCCCGACGTCCACAGGTGGGGGTTGTGCTTACAGCCCAACACCGTGCAGGACGTTTGGCATTTGCCAGAGAACACCAAGATTGGCAAATTCGCCACTGGCGCCCTGTGCTCTTCACAGCAGGTTCACACTGAGCACATGTGACAGACGTGACAGAGTCTGGAGACGCCGTGGAGAACGTTCTGCTGCCTGCAACATCCTCCAGCATGACCGGTTTGGCGGTGGGTCAGTCATGGTGTGGGGTGGCATTTCTTTGGGGGGCTGCACAGCCCTCCATGTGCTCGCCAGAGGTAGCCTGACTGCCATTAGGTACTGCGATGAGATCCTCAGACCCCTTGTGAGACCATATGCTGGTGCGGTTGGCCCTGGGTTCCTTCTAATGCAAGACAATGCTAGACCTCATGTGGCTGGAGTGTGTCAGCAGTTCCTGCAAGAGGAAGGCATTGATGCTATGGACTGGCCCGCCCGTTCCCCAGACCTGAATCCAATTGAGCACATCTGGGACATCATGTCTCGCTCCATCCACCAATGCCATGTTGCACCACAGACTGTCCAGGAGTTGGCGGATGCTTTAGTCCAGGTCTGGGAGGAGATCCCTCAGGAGACCATCCGCCACCTCATCAGGAGCATGCCCAGGCGTTGTAGGGAGGTCATACAGGCACGTGGAGGCCACACACACTACTGTGCCTCATTTTGACTTGTTTTAAGGACATTACATCAAAGTTGGATCAGCCTGTAGTGTGGTTTTCCACTTTAATTTTGAGGGTGACTCCAAATCCAGACCTCCATGGGTTGATAAATTTGATTTCCATTGATAATTTTTGTGTGATTTTGTTGTCAGCACATTCAACTATGTAAAGAAAAAAGTATTTAATAAGATGATTTCATTCATTCAGATCTAGGATGTGTTGTTTAAGTGTTCCCTTTATTTTTTTGAGCAGTGTATAATAGTTTGATTAAAATGTTTACATCCTAATCATTTCCCTAATAATCCTGTTTACATGGACACATCTGAAATCAGGCTACTGATGGGACTTTTGATAAATGCAGAAAATCGGCAATCAAAATAAATGTTCTACCACAGTGACCATGTTATTTAAAAAATATATAATTATTATTGTTTTATATATTTTTGGTACTTTTTACCCTTTTTCTCCCCAATTTCGTAATATCCAATTGGTAGTTACAGTCTTGTCCCATCGCTGCAACTTCTGTACAGACTCGGGAGAGGCGAAGGTCAAGAGCCATGCGTCCTCCAAAACACGACCCCGCCAAGGCGCACTGCTTCTTGACACAGTGCTCGCTTAACCCGGTAGTCAGCCTCACCAATGTGTCGGAGGAAACACCGTACAGCTGGTGACCGAAGTCAGCGTGCATGTGCCCGGCCGCCACAAGGAGTCACTAGAGCGCAATGGGACAAGGACTACCCAGCCGGCCAAACCCTCCCCTAACCCGCACGATGCTGGGCCAATTGTGTGCCGCCTCATGGGTCTCCTGGCCGCGGCCGGCTGCGACACAGCCCAGGATCGAACCCGGATCTGTAGTGACGCCTCTAGCACTGCGATGCAGTGCCTTAGACCGCTGCTCCACTCGGGAGGCCCGACCATGTTATTTTTGAGAAGACTATTTGATTCTGAGTTCGGACTTATAAAGTTTGTATGTGAAAACTATTCATAAGATGCTTACTTTCTATCAGGAGAAGACCCAGAGGCAGACAGTGTCGAAGTAAAAAAAGTTTATTACAAAAACAGGGGGCAGGCAAACGACAGGTCAAGGGCAGGCAGAGGTCAGTAATCCAGATCAGAGTCCAAAAGGTATAGAACGGCAGACAGTCTCAGGGTCAGGGCAGGCAGAGGTCAATAATCCAGGGTGGTGTGACAAGGTACAGAATGGCAGGCAGGCAAGCTCAGGGTCAGGGCAGGCAGAATGGTCTAAACCAGGAAAACAGGAACTTGAGAAAGACAGGAGCAAGGGGAAAAATGCTGGTAGGCTTGACGAAACAAAACAAACTGGCAACAGACAAACAGAGAACACAGGTATAAATGAGTGTGCAGAACGCCTTCCAGAACCGGGACGAGAATCCCGGTCGGAGACCATGTCCACTGGGAGTCCATGGATCCGGAAGACGTGCTGCGCCATGAGCTGGGCCGTCTCTTTGGCGGAGGGTAGCTTGGGGAGAGGAATGAAGTGGGCGGCTTTGGAAAACTGGTCCACAACTGTCAGGATGGCGGTGTAGCCATCAAACGGGGGAAGACCTGTGACAAAGTCCAGGGATATGTGAGACCAGGGATGGTGAGGAACAGGCAGAGGTTGGAGGAGACCAGCCAGAGCTTGCCGAGGAGTTTTGTTCTGTGCACAGATCGTGCAGGCGGCGACGAGCGCGGAGACGTCAGGAACCATGGTAGGCCACCAAAAGTGCTGTCGCACAGGGTCCGACGGGAGCCCGGGTGGCAGGCAAGCCTGGAGGGGTGGGCCCACTCCAGGACCGAGGAGGGGACAGCGTCAGGAACAAACATCCGGTTATCTGCCCCCCCCCCCCCCCCCCCCCCCGGGGTTTGGTTGTGAATTCTACGCCTCCCGGACCTGCTTGCCTATTCCCCAACTGAGTGCCGTCGCCAAGCACTTTTTTTTTTTTTTTTTCACCTTTATTTAACCAGGTAAACCAGTTGAGAACAAGTTCTCATTTACAACTGCGACCTGGCCAAGATAAAGCAAAGCAGTGCGATAAAAACAACAACACAGAGTTACATATGGGGTAAAACAAAACAAAGTCAAAAATACAACAGAAATACATATAATATACAGTGTGCAAATTTAGCAAGTTATGGAGGTAAGGCAATAAAATAGGCTATAGTGCAAAATAATTACAATTTAGTATTAACACTGGAATGATGTGCAAGAGATGATGTGCAAATAGAGATACTGGGGTACAAATGAGCAAAATAAATAACAATATAGGGATGAGGTAGTTGGGTGGGCTAATTTCAGATGGGCTGTGTACAGGTGCAGTGATCGGTAAGGTGCTCTGACAACTGATGCTTAAAGTTAGTGAGGGAGATAAGTGTCTCCAGCTTCAGAGATTTTTGCAATTTGTTCCAGTCATTGGCAGCAGAGAACTGGAAGGAATTGCGGCCAAAGGAGGTGTTGGCTTTGGGGATGACCAGTGAGATATACCCGCTGGAGCGCAGACTACGGGTGGGTGTTGCTATGGTGACCAATGAGCTAAGATAAGGCGGGGATTTGCCTAGCAGTGATTTATAGATGGCCTGGAGCCAGTGGGTTTGGCGACGAATATGTAGTGAGGACCAGCCAACAAGAGCGTACAGGTCACAGTGGTGGGTATTATATGGGGCTTTGGAGACAAAACGGATGGCACTGTGATAGACAACATCCAATTTGCTGAGTAGAGTGTTGGAGGCTATTTTGTAAATGACATCGCCGAAGTCAAGGATCGGTAGGATAGTCAGTTTTACGAGGGCATGTTTGGCAGCATGAGTGAAGGAGGCTTTGTTGCGAAATAGGAAACCGATTCTAGATTTAACTTTGGATTGGAGATTCTTAATGTGAGTCTGGAAGGAGAGTTTACAGTCTAACCAGACACCTAGATATTTGTAGTTGTCCACATACTCTAGGTCAGACCCGTCTAGAGTAGTGATTCTAGTCGGGTGGGCGGGTGCAAGCAGCGTTCGGTTGAAGAGCATGCATTTAGTTTTACTAGTGTTTAAGAGCAGTTGGAGGATACTGAAGGAGTGTTGTATGGAATTGAAGCTCGTTTGGAGGTTTGTTAACACAGTGTCCAATGAAGGGCCAGATGTATACAAAATGGTGTCGTCTGCGTAGAGGTGGATCTGAGAGTCACCAGCAGCAAGAGCGACGTCATTGATATACACAGAGAAAAGAGTTGGCCCAAGAATTGAACCCTGTGGCACCCCCATAGAGACTGCCATAGGTCCAGACAACAGGCCCTCCGATTTGACACATTGAACTCTATCTGAGAAGTAGGTGGTGAACCAGGCGAGGCAGTCATTTGAGAAACCAAGGCTATTTAGTCTGCCAA